AGGAGGCCGGCGAGCCCAGGGACCTCCAAAGCGCTGAGGAGGCGTGGGGGCGAGGCTCCATTCGGTGAGTGTAGTCCCAAGGAAGCCCCAGTGCCCCGCCCCTCCCTTCCTGGACGGCTCTGCGCAGCGCCCTCCCCCATCTCCGACCCCGGCTTGGGCTCAGGGCTCCGAATCCTGGAGTAGGATGTCTGCTGCGTGCCTGCCGGTGTCTTTCGCCCCCTTTGCGGCTTCTGTCGGTTTAGGGAATTTGGAGATTCTCTGGTTCCGCTCCCCAACCCACAGCAGGGAAACTGAGGCCCACTGGGGCGGGCCCCTCCTCACCAGCGTCTCCACACAGACACCATGGCGGAGCCCTTAAAGGACGAAGATGGCGAGGACGGCTCTGGGGAGCCCCCCGGGTCTGTGAAGGCAGAACCCACCCACACCACTGCCTCTGTCACTGCCAAGAACCTGGCCCTCCTCAAAGCCCGCTCCTTCGATGTGACCTTTGACGTGGGGGACGAGTACGAGATCATTGAGACCATAGGCAATGGGGCCTATGGGGTGGTGTCCTCTGCGCGCCGCCGCCTCACGGGTGAGCTTCTTGAGCCTCTCACAGATGTGGAAAGTGCTTCCCAGAGGGGGTGCGAAACCTGCCCGACTCAGCCAGTGGGGAAGCTAAGCTAGGCTGTGCGTTCTGATGCATTTCAGCTGATAGGCACCAGGTCACCAGTTCGTCGCCATCCTCAGGTTTGGCCATCTTATCACCCTACTTCCTCCTTAGAAAAATGATGGTCCTAGTTAGACCAGAACCAAGTGCTCACCTTGATGTGTTGTAGAGCCGGAGACTGGCACAAGGGTTTGGTGGTGGGATGGGTGAGATCTGAGATGGAGAGGGGGTATAGGGGAGGAGAACGAACACAAGCATTAGAGTCAGGGCCACCACTAAGCTCTGCAGCCTCCAACAAGTTACTGAGCCAGATTTATTCACCTATAATTGAGCTATTATTAGTACTTGCCTTGCTTGGCTTATGTGGTAGCTGCCATTATTTGCGTCCTAGAAGTGAGTGTTGAAAGGGCCCTGCAGTTATACCAAGGTACCCTCTGGTATCTGCCTTTTCCCTGTTCCCCAGGCCAGCAGGTGGCCATCAAGAAGATCCCAAATGCTTTTGATGTGGTGACTAATGCAAAACGGACTCTCAGGGAACTGAAGATCCTCAAACACTTCAAGCATGACAATATCATTGCCATCAAGGACATCCTGAGGCCTACTGTGCCCTATGGAGAGTTCAAATCTGTGTAAGGAGCAGGGTGGGAGAGGGAGGCATAGTTGGAATCGTTTTGGAAGGCCAGGGCCATATTTCTAAGTTCTGGAAGGGCAGCTATACCTAATGTGAGGTGGACTGGGAAAGTTACCACAATTCTAGTCTAGTTCTTTTTTAGGGAGATAACCAAATCAGCTATTATTTCTCAAGATGAGTACAGGTGTTGAAATTTTATAAAATCTGATTATGTACCCTGGCAGACATGGGATATTCATCCTACCACTGTACCATCCTATTGTCATAACATACATCATTCACTGATTATAGAATATTTAGAATAGAACATGGACTAGCCTTCACAATTTTCATCATAATCCCTTAAGCAGCCACTAGCAGTTCTCTCATTCTTTTCTTCCCCGAGATGCTGTACTCCAGCATCTGGTCTCCCAATCCCAGAGCGGCTGATTTACTGCTGATGCTCACCACTTGGCCATCTTCCCATAAGTCTCCTAAGCTTCCACTGTCAAACAATGGAGTTACCTCCAAAGCTATACCTGTTGACCAGTCCTGTTATAGTTGAGCCCTGTCTGTTAGGGAAATCAGATCTGGTGGAAAATAATCAACTTCATGGAAAGGATATAGAAAATCTAGAACTGGTGCTCTTACTCCATACCATGCCCTCAGCCCTTTGAGGTCCTAGGGTAATGCTACCTGTCAAGAGTCAGAAGTGCATGCTAAGAATGGGGCTTGGGTCTTTAATGTGGTTAGGTCAACACATGCCTCTCATTTTCAGCTATGTGGTCTTGGACCTGATGGAGAGCGACCTGCACCAGATAATCCACTCCTCACAGCCACTCACACTGGAGCATGTGCGTTACTTCTTGTATCAGCTGCTGCGGGGCCTCAAGTACATGCACTCAGCTCAGGTCATCCACCGTGACCTCAAGCCTTCCAACCTGTTAGTGAATGAGAACTGTGAGCTCAAGATTGGAGACTTTGGTATGGCCCGTGGCCTTTGTACCTCCCCCGCTGAGCACCAGTACTTCATGACTGAGTATGTGGCCACTCGCTGGTACCGTGCTCCAGAGCTTATGCTCTCCCTGCATGAGTACACACAGGCTATTGACCTCTGGTCTGTGGGTTGCATCTTTGGTGAAATGCTGGCCCGGCGCCAGCTCTTCCCAGGCAAAAACTATGTGCATCAGTTACAACTGATCATGATGGTGCTGGGTACCCCATCACCAGCTGTGATTCAGGCTGTAGGGGCCGAAAGAGTGCGGGCCTATATTCAGAGCCTCCCACCACGCCAGCCTGTTCCCTGGGAGACAGTCTACCCAGGTGCTGACCGCCAGGCCCTCTCACTACTGGGCCGCATGCTCCGTTTTGAACCCAGTGCCCGCATCTCAGCAGCTGCTGCCCTTCGTCACCCTTTCCTGGCCAAGTACCACGACCCTGACGATGAACCTGATTGTGCCCCACCCTTTGACTTTGCCTTTGACCGTGAAGCCCTTACCCGAGAGCGCATTAAGGAGGCCATCGTGGCTGAGATTGAGGACTTCCATGCACGACGGGAGGGCATCCGCCAACAGATCCGCTTCCAGCCTTCCCTGCAGCCTGTGGCTAGTGAGCCTAGCTGTCCAGATGTTGAGATGCCCAGTCCTTGGGCTCCCAGTGGGGACTGTGCCATGGAGTCACCCCCCCCAGCCCCCCCGCCTTGTGCAGGTCCTGCGCCTGATCCCATCGATCTGACTCTTCAGCCGCCGCCACCCACCAGTGAGCCTGCCCCACCAAAGAGAGAGGGTGCCATCTCAGACAACACCAAGGCAGCTCTCAAAGCTACTCTGCTCAAGTCCTTGCGGAGCCGCCTCAGAGGTACCTTGGTTCAGCAGCTGGCTGGGTACTGGGGCTTAGAGGGCCCTCTGGCTCATACAGGGCTGGAGGCTCTTACTGTTTTCCTCCTTCACTTTCTGCAGATGGCCCCAGTGTACCTCTGGAGGCTCCTGAGCCTCGGAAACCTGTGACAGCACAGGAGCGTCAACGAGAACGGGAGGAGAAGCGTCGGAGGCGACAAGAGAGAGCCAAGGAGCGAGAGAAGCGGCGACAAGAGCGGGAACGCAAGGAGCGGGGGGCTGGGACCTTGGGGGGCCCCTCCACTGATCCCCTGGCTGGACTGGTGCTTAGTGACAATGATCGAAGCCTTCTAGAGCGCTGGACTCGCATGGCCCAGCCCCCCGTCCCACCTCCAGCTACAGTACCAGCACCAGCACCAACACCATCCCCAGCTCAGCCCACCAGTCCTCCCCCTGGCCCTGTGGCCCAGCCCACTGGTCCCCCACCACAACTTGCAAACTCCACCCCTACTCCTGCACCCCAGCCTGCTTGTCCGCCCCCTGCTCCCCACCCTGCTGGCCCTCCTGGACCCATCTCTGTCCCTGCATCACTCCAAACTGCCTCCTCTACTAACCTTCTGGCTCCCCAGTCACTTGTGCCAGCCTCTGGGTTGCCTGGCCCCAGCACCGCAGTTCTGCCTTACTTCCCATCTGGTCCACCCCCTCCAGACCCTGGGGGCCCCCCTCAGCCTTCCACATCAGAGTCACCTGATGTCAACTTGGTGACCCAGCAGTTGTCTAAGTCACAGGTAAGAGGAGAGACCTAGACCATGGGAACACCTATACCTGGGCCCGTGGGTTTGGAAGTTGTCCTTGGTTTGTGAAAACTGAGCAGGAGATGGGTCTTTCTCTCTGAACTTGTCCCTTTGCTCATAGAAAGAGCACAAAACCAGTGAAGAGGTTGTCAGGGACAAACAGTATACTGCACGGGAAGTTCCTGGCTTAGGGGTGGCCCCTAGCCAGCACTCAGTGATCCGTGAGACTGGTGTTAGCCCTCAGGGATATCTAGGCAGAGTGGTCAGCAGCTTTAGGCGAGGAGTGTTGTACTCTTGCTGACAGTTGTATCGTAACTAACCTGCCATCATTCCCTACAGGTGGAAGACCCCCTGCCCCCTGTGTTCTCAGGCACACCAAAGGGCAGTGGGGCAGGCTATGGTGTTGGCTTTGACCTGGAGGAATTCTTAAACCAGTCTTTTGACATGGGTGTTGCTGATGGGCCACAGGATGGGTAAGATGCCTGGACTGAACTCTGGAATGGGATTGTGCGGAAGGGTTTCTGGTGCAGAAAAAGCTTGCTTGTGGGATGGCTGCCAAGCTGGCCTAGGCTAGCAGCACCCCTCCCTCTCCCATCCTTGACTCTCTTTTCCTGCAGCCAGGCAGACTCGGCCTCACTCTCAGCCTCCCTACTTGCTGACTGGCTTGAGGGCCATGGCATGAACCCTGCCGACATTGAGTCTCTGCAGCGTGAGATCCAGATGGATTCCCCGATGCTGCTGTCTGACCTGCCTGACCTCCAAGAGCCCTAAGACCCACAGCCAGTGCCTTGCTGCCAGGGCAGACCCAGCTCCAAGGTCCATGGGAGCATTCCTGGGGTCTTGCTCCTGGGCCACCAGGTGAGGCTCAGCTTGGATTATTCTGCAGGTTCATCTCAGACCCACCCTTCAGCCTTAAGCAGCCACCTGAGCCACTGCCGAGCCATGACAGGATTGGGAGACCCTGACTCCCTCTGAACAATCCTTTTCAGTATTGTATTTTTATTATTGTTGTAATATTATTATGCAGTCTTTTTGCCATCAAAAGAAGCCTGTGAAATACAAGGTTCCCTTTAATGCCTAAGTCCAGGTGTCATTTTTAGCCAGGTGGGGTGAGGGGTGGGGTAGGGACAGGACATATAAGTAGGGGTACAAGGAGGAGCCAGGTACCCACATTTGGGGGCCAAGCAAATACGTTGTGTGCACAAGGCCAGTTCATTCAGGTCCTGAAGATTTATTGAGACCTCCACTCCCCACCCACTCCCAGCCCACAGCTTATTCTCTACCCCTCATATGACCAAACCTCAATCCCTGGGGCAGGTGGGGGACCTCATTCCCATGCCTACCTTTCCTGTAGCTGTTTTGGGGTGTCTTGCAGTAGCTGTGGTGAATATTGTTTTGGCACTGAGCATTGGGGAGCTGGGCTATGCAGGTGGAGGATGTGGAGTATGGTGGTGAGATGGGGCAGAGGGTCCACAGTGTTCACCACAAGGAGTAGGTGAAAAGGAGGACAAGGATAGGAGGTGCTCTGAGAATGGACAGGGAGTGCTGGAGTGCAGTGGCTGCCCAAGAGGCCTGGAATACACTGTGGGTGCTGGTGAAACTGCATTGCTCAGTCTAGGGTGCCCCAGACAGAGGTCCACAGCAAGGAAGCTGGCTAAGGTGGGACACAAATACCCATGCCTAGAGGGTGGGTCCTGACTCTCAGCTATTGGGAGGGGGTGGAGGCTTAGAAATGGTCACCCTAGTGTGCGACAGGGATCAGCGAAGGCTGAGAGTTGCAAGACTGCTGAGAAGCTCGTGTGCGGGGAACAGCAGAAGCATCATGTTGGGCCTGGAGGGCAGAGGGACACTCATGGAGATGCAGAAAGCCAGGGAAGGGGTGGAGCGGGACAGGGCCAGCCCCTCAGGCCCGGCGGATTTTCATCTCGGTGCGCTTAAGGGAGTAGTAGAAGCCCTTCCACTGGGCCCAGTTGATGCCATTGGCATAGGAGAGATGGGAGCCACCCAGGTAGAAGCCATTTAGGTTGGCGAAGTGACAGCTGCGGAACCAGAAGGCTCCCGAGGAGAGGGCTGCACAGTTCTGCACGAAGAGGTCCTGGTCCCGGTCGAAGGTGGAGAACTTCTGACCGCTGTGGTAGGTCAAGGAATCACCTGGCAAAGGGAGAAGAGTGGGTCTGCTGAGACAGGGCGCTGATCCATGTGCTGGGAAGGAGAGGGTGGTGGCCGTGACAGTCAGTGTAAGGGAAATCAAGTGGCATTCTGGTGGGATGGGTTAGATGTGTTTTGGATATATAGGTCTCTGTAGTGAGGAGAAACAGCTGGTCCTTCACAGGGTTGCCTGGAGCAGGGCCAGGGCAGCTGCTCTCAGGGCTGAGGCAGGAGCTGGCTGGGGCTGGTTTGGATCCAGCTGTGGTTCTGCCTAGGCCAAGAGGGATGAAAGAGGGACCTCAGAGGGGTCACAGGCTCCCCCCATTTCCTTGCTGATGCTAGCGGGAGGGGATACCTGCCCCGCCGTCCTCAAAGCCTGCCACGTAGAGTGTGTAGCCATCCTCCTCGGCACTGATCGCATTGGGGGAGATGGAGAAGTCAACATACTTAGCATATGCTGTGTTGTTCTCAAAGTCCTCCAGGTCTACTCGAAGCTCGTACTTCTGCTTCAGCGTTAGGAGGTGCAGGTTCTGCAGCCCTGGGGATGCAGGGAGCTGGTCAGCAGAGACATGGCTGTGCGTGAAGCAGCCCCCAGCCCTTCTGGCCCCTGCCTTACCCAGCCAGTACTCCCCATCTGCACGGCCGAAGCCCAGCTTGTAGTCATTCCAGCCCCGGAAGAAACTAACTGAGCCATTGAATCTCTTCTGGAAGACCTGGAGCCAAGAGAACAGGGAACTAACTGTTCGGTCGAGGGTCCAGCCGGTACAGGCCCTACCCCACTTGACCCATATAAGCATGAACCTTTTGTTGCTAGGGCTGGCTTGTTAAAGAACACAGAGAGCTGGGGAGGTCGCTAAAAGAAGGTGCACCCTGCTGCCAGGCCCCTCATTGAGCAGCTACTGTGTGTAACCACTTGGACTCTTCACTAGCTTCCACTCAGAGGCCAGGAAAGGAAGGAAGAGAAAAGGAAGGAGGGCCTGGGATTTAGCCCAGTGGTTCCAATGCCTGCCTTGCAAGCGTAAGGTCCTGAGTTCAATCCCTGGTACCAAGAAAAAAAAAGGGGAAGGAGGTGAAGAGGGGATTGTTTGGGGCTGATGATGTAGTTCAGAGGTGGACTGCTTGCCTACTGTGCATGAGGCTTCTGGGTTCCTCATAAGCACAAAACAAAAACTCAAAAGGACTCTAGAGTTTACGTGGCTGGATATGAATCCCGGTACTGGCTGTGTGACCGCAGGCAAGTTACTTCAGGGTCACACATTAACCTAAAAGTACTTAGAATCACTAAGAAAATGCATTGGGTATAAGCATACCCATTTTAACTGAAAAACAGATTCACAGAAGTGAAGCTCAGGGTCACACAGCTAGGAGGAAACCAGATCTGGCCTCCCCTTCCACTCACCGTCCACTTGCCGCCCTCAGTGGTCATGTCGCAGAAGACGGGCACTGGCACACTGGGACCCGAGGGGTAGATGAGGTATACACCATCTGTCTGGTAGCCCTGGGCATAGATGTCATCGCAGTCCAGGGGCTGCTGAAGGCAAGACTTCTCTAGAGCTGCGGGTGGGAGTGTGGGGACAGTAAGGAGAGGGAGACAGACACCCCGCAGTTTCTCAGTCCCCAGGACGATGGAATGCTCATGAGAGAGTGTGAGGTTTCTTTGAGGGGAGTAGCTCAAAGATCATTTCATCGCCTGCCTCACTGTGGCCTGTACACCTTCTTTTTGCCCAATCTGTTGGCCAGGCCTGTCTGAACTTGGGGCTGCTTACCATCTCCTCGGATCCCGGTGGCTTGCGGGGTGCAGGGGGGTGTTGAAACAAGAAGTAGCAGCGGCAGGGCCAGGAGGGCCTGGTGACAGGAAACAGGTTCGGTGAAGCCCCCAGACCCAGGGATTCCTGTTCTTTCTTCATTCGCTCCATTGTGTATGCTGCCCTGGCCCGAAATCCTTTCATGTCCTTGGGCCTCTCTTTCCGCCCCCAGTAATCCTTCCTGGACAAAGCCTAACCCCTTGGAGCTTTAGTCTCAAGAGAATACCTATGCTTTCATAGTCCCCTTGTGGGCAAGTGGCTTCTCCACAAGTGGTCTTAACTTTCAAAGTCAGGAGCTCCCCACCACGGGCCCAATACCTTCATGCTGTTGGTTCGGCTCAGAGCGGCTGGTTGTCTGAGGCCCCAGACTGCAACCGCCCAGTTATGTGCTGGGCCCCTGGCCAGCCGCCTCAGCCCCGCCTGCTGCTGGAGCTGCAGAACCCCCCTTTCCACACACGACCAGCGTCAGCTTACACTATCAGGGGCCAGGGGACACCTGGGTCTCATTAGGCCTGTTGGCAAAGTGCTCCAGACCAGACGTTAACTCCCTGCTGGCTCTGATTGCTCCCTGGATCCCACTCTGCCATCAGCCCTGCTGGACTTGTGGGCCCCTGGCACCCCTAACTGGCCCCTACTTCCTGACAGCCTCTCTGCAGAGGTCTGTTTATTCTCCCTCCTGTCCTGGCCTGTGCTTCATCAGCCATTGGGGGGAGGCCTGCGAAGGCAGGGTTGGGTGTAGGTGTGCCTGGGTCCTAGTGCGGAGAGCACTGAGGGAATGGAAGGCAGGGGGCAGCTTCAGCGCTCCTGATGTGGGAGCCTGCCTGGGCTGGTGGTGGGGGACAGGGGCAGCAGGGGCCAGGCTGTCTCCTGGCAGGACTAGGACATTTCTTAGCCATGAGCACTAAGCTGCAGGCGGCCAACTGCTCTGTCTGTCCCAGCTCACGCCAGGGCCCCTCTCCAACCACCCCCCCCTTCCCTCAGGCCCACCTCCTTTTCTCTCCCACAGTTCCCTGCCCATCTGAGCCACTTTTGTTTCTCCTCACCCCACCCTCTTCCTTCTTCCAAGCCCCTTGCTTTGGCCCCTACCTCCTCAGACTATCTTAACAGGTTGCCATTCCCTCAGCCCTGAGGAACTACGTCTTCCTTTCTTGCCCCTCTTCAAGCCTGGGACTCTTTCAATCTGCCATCCCACCATTCTTGTCACCAACCTCCTCCCCTCACCAGAGTGACTTACTGCTCTAGCCCCTTCACCTGCTTCCTTGCTTTTGCCTTCTCCCCTCTTTCCGTCCTCCACACCAGAAGTGCCTCCTGGATCTTCATTGCTCTGATGATGTTCCCCTGCTTAAGCCTGCAGTGGTTCCTATTGCCTCTGAGCTGAGGTTAAAATTTGAACCTTGGACTCGAACTTTTAGTCTGACTCCAGCCTACCCTCAGGACCTTGCCACTTAATGCTTGAGACTCAGGATACAGTGTGGCCAGTCCAGACTTCTCACCATCAGTCCCTGTGTCTTTGCACTGTTTCCTCTGGTGGTCACCTGTCCATCTCTTCTTGGCCACAAATGAATGCCAACGGGCAGGGTCTGTGCTCATTTCTGCATGCCCAGCATTGTCGCACACAATGCAACACACACATTCACTCAGAACAAGTACTTTCCAAGCAACTACTATGTGCTGTGCTTAATGCTGGCTGCAGTTTCTGCCCCCACCTGGCGAACAGGCTTTGGACAGTGAATTACAAAGGCAGCTGGTGTTAGGAAAAGACATTAGTTGAATGGATGAACATGTGAAGTGTTCAGAGTGCAGCGATACAGCAGGGGACAGCTTTGTGGTCCTCTGTCTCAATTCCTGAGTTAGTAGGTAAGCCCTTTGGAGGAGCTCATTGGCTTCCTTGATTTGCTTCTGTGGTTACTGTAAGCGAGTGATACAGTACCTCTGTTCATTGTTGTGTCTTATCTTTGGGGTTCTAGCACCAGGTTGATTGTATTCAAATTCAGGTTTTGCCACCTGTTAGCTGGTGGTGTTGGACAAATTACCTAGGCCAGTGAGGGGGAACCTTTTAGAGCTTTCAGTGATCCAACCCATTGTGGCATGCTTGCCAAAGGTTTGCCACCACTGACCTAGTCTCTTTGTGCCTTGATTTCTTCCTCTATACAATAAGATAGTAATAATATCTACTTCACAAGATTATGGTAAGGATTAAATAATACACATCCAGTGTCAAAAACAATGCCCACAAGTATTTGTCAAAGGAGAAAAAAAATCGATGGGCATGGTAGCACATGCTTGTAATCCCAGCATTTGGGAGGCTGAGGCAGGAGGATTGCTACAAGTTCAAGGTCAGCCTGGGCTACATAGTGAGTTCGAGGCTAGTCTGAACTACATAATGAAATTCTGTCTCAAACAAAACAATAACAAAAAAAAGATTAATCTCAACAGAGTTTATTTGAGCAATTATAAACAAAACAGAACAAAGTACTACAACAATGATTTGTGAATTGGTCAGTCCCCAGAACCGAAGGAGATTCAGAGACTTGTCGCCAATAACATGGATCTGACAGCATTTATAGGAAACAGAAATGTGGTGTGGAGACAATTGGTTACAGCTTAATTGGTTACTTGGTTACAGAGCCTCTTGTAATTAAAGCTCAGATACTGTGGTTATAACCCATATTGGTTTGGTCTGTTAAGCTTAGTATAAAAGCTTAATCCAAATCAATGACTCACACATTTTATTTAACACACTATAGTAATTACTTAGTAAAGATTAATGAACACCATTGTCATCATAAACATGCCCGTTCTCATGTGAATGAGTTGTCTTAGGCAGCATAATTTTTATCCTTCTCTGTGGAAGAGATAGTTGGCTGCTCCTCAGTATTCATCCTTGGTCTTGAGTACTAAGATCCTGATTTTCATCTGGCTTATTGCCCAGCCTCCCTTGTGGCTATATGAGGTCATATGTTTCAATATTGGTCAGTAAGACGCAAACAAGCATTACAAAAGTAGCCCCTCTTTGTCTTTCCCTCTGTCCTACTGGATGTGATGGCTGGAGTTCCGGCTGCCATCTTGGACAGTGGAGATGAGGCCTCATGGGGGAGAATGGTCAGGGACGAGCTGGGTTCTTCTTGGTTTTGTACAGTGGATGCAAGGCCAGCCCTGGGCCCTTCTAGGCCTCTATGTAGAAGAGAAAGAAACTTCTACCTTAAGCCATTTTTTTCCCTGTAACAGAGCTGAATTTAGTCCTAATCTCTTCTTTCAGCAAGTGCCAGCTAATTTTAGCACAAAGCTACAAAAAAGGAAAATAATAAAAAAAATCAGTCATCAAAACAAAATAATGTGTGTGTTTTTTTTTGGTACCGGGGATTAAACTCGGGTCCTTGTGCTTGCAAGGCAGGCCACCAAACTGCTGAGCCAAATCCCCAGTCCTAAATAAAGTATTCAAAGTCAAGCATGACAGACTTTTGAAAAACATGATGAAAAATAAATACGAAAAACAAACAACCAAAAAAAAGGACTAAGCTATGAGGTATGTTTTGTCTATTAGTTTTGAACATTTTAAATGATTGTGTGTATGTTTGCATAGCAAAGCAGGCACTATGTATTGGCTGGAAGTGGTTTAACTATATGGGGAAGGAAATTTGGCAGTCAGTAATCCTTCTTTGAAGAGATTGTCTGAAATACTCAAGCATATTGAAAAGGTCACACACAGAGAGTAGACATTTTTTGCCTGTCCAGATGAAAACCTCTTCCCATCTTTGAGGGCTCATTTCCCCACGTGTCCTTACAGTTCTGTGGGAGGCACATGTTCTCTGTGTAGCCAAAGAAGTGCACTGCCCTGGACTTCATTTGGGGAGCTGATGATTTGAGGAGGAGGAGCCGTAAGAACCCATTCTTGGGGTGGTGGTGATCCTAGTAGTCTCTTGGTCCTAGGGTCTTTGACTGGTTTCTTTGGAAATGTGGTGCTAAGCAATTAGGTTTAGACTACAAAGCCCTAACCTCTGTAGGATCTTGCTGAATTGTCCAGGCCAGCCTCGAACTTGTGATTTGCCTGTCTCAGCCTCCTGAGTAAGCTGGGATGATAGGCATGTACCATTGGGCTCGGTAACCACTGTGCGTGGTGTGTGTGTGTGTGTGTGTGTGTGTGTGTGTGTGTGTGTGTGAAAGATCCTAACTCGCATGCAGTTTATTTTATTTTGGTGCTGGGGATTGAACCCAGAGCCTTGTGCATGCTAAGCATTCATTCCATCACTAAATTTATAACAATTTATTTCTAGTTTAGATCAAGATACTTTCATTGCCAGCAACAGACACTGAGTGACTTTGTTGCTTTCCTCGGAGTCTGGACTGGGGCTGGATGGGGCTTAGGCTGGTCTGTGGCTCTTGGAATCAGGCCCTCAGTGGTGGGACAGCCAGTTGGAGTGACATTTTCCCACAGATAGACCTGTGGCTTTGTCAGATTCCAGAAGGAAGAGCACCCATCCCCTTAGCCTTGTGTGGGCATTTTACCCACTCTCTTGACCAATGATGCAGTCCGACAGCTTTTGTTTGCCTCCTCACCTTTCATCATCCCAATCCATGCCCTGGGAAGCTGGCCTTACCTTCTGGTTTCTGATTGGGTCCAGTCAGAAAGGATTTGCTGCAGAATTTGGAGGGAGGGAGGAGAGTGAGGTTTGGATATTCCTTCCATTCCTTGTCAGGTCCCAGAAGCTGGCACATTCCTCTGCCAAGGGTCTCAGGTCCTGGTGCGTGGCCTCTTCACACAGCACCCAGACACATTGCAGGTCTGTGGGCTCGGTCTTATCTATTTCATTGTTCTGGCCACTTAGTAGAGGCTTGCGCTTCTTGGTTCACAGAAAAATTCTCAATTAGTTCTTCTTTGGCTATTTTTTTCCCTTTCATTTTTTCTCTTCTCTTTCTGATTTTATTTGTTGTTGGATTCCTGAATTACCCTTAATTTTTTTTCTGTGACATTTTCCATCACTTTGTTTTAATTCTTACTTCAGGAGCACATCCATAATGTCCAGTACTTCCACTGACTTAAAAAACTTAGACATCATATTGTTTTTGTTTTCCAATTGATCCTTTTTAAAAGGGTTTATTGGGTTATATTTTACACATAATAAAATTACCTGTTGTAAGTATAGAGTTCAACAATTACTCCTTAAAAAAAAAAAAAAAAGACTAACTTTAGGGCAGTTTTAGGCCTGCAGCAAAATTGAGCAGAAGTTACATATACCCTCTGCCCTGACACACGCAGTCTCCCCATCACGTTGGTACATTTGTTACAATAGATGAACCTACGTGGACTTATTGTCATCACCAAAAGTCCATAGTTTACATGATAGTTCACATTTAATGTTAAACATTCTACTGGTTTGGGCAAATGTCCAATGATATGTATCTGTCATCACAGTGATATAGGGACTAGAAACATAACTCCCAACCTGCTTGAAACACTGAGTTCGTATTTCCCTGCAGTCAAAGAATTCTAAGGAACAACAGAGGTTAAGAGTTGGAAAATTTATTGAGAGATAGCTCCTGAGAGACAGAAGGGGACCCAAAATTAAGTTGTCACAGAACTTATGTTTCTGAGTGTTTTATAGAGCCAAATCACTAGGTGGG